TTACGGATTTTCCCTACCGTCCCCCATGGACCTGCCAGTGTTCCTGGATCTATCTGTGGGCACGCATGATGGCCGGCGCAGTTCCCCGTCCTGAATGAAATTCCTAAACCGGACGAAACCCCAGATCCAGTCAAGCTGCCAAGAGGGATCAGTGACGTTGAGGTAAAGTATCCCCTCAGTTGCGCGCTAATTTGGTGACTGGCACGGTTGGCTCGTGGGTGTTTCTTTACTGCACCGACTACGTTGTAATGGCTGACGCGGGAGGTTGACCTGTGGGAGCGCCGGGGATGACGCTCAAAAGAGGAGGGAGGCTATGTAATACGATAGTGGTTTATCCCTCGGTTCTGGTGAGGCGCCACTTTTGTACTTCGAATTAGCCCCCTTGTACCTCGCTGGGTGGGCTGGCCTTTTAGGCCATGCCAATAGCCCGGACACCTTCTCCGTGCTGAATATATATATTCTGCCCGAGTATTTTGTCTTCTTTCGTCTTCAGGGAGTCTCGGGACGCTACACTTCTGTATTCAGTAGTGGGTAATATTAGTATTAAGGACTACTTTACTGTGTACTTAAAGTTTCACATATTAGTTCCTACTTTCAGGACCCAACTACATCAATGTGTGAATCAGAAAACTTTAGATCTTCCGGCGATAATACCGTAGCGATCCGATTTTGGCTTTAACTACGTAGGAATTTGAATCTGCGCAGGATGTTCATCTGCCGTGTGTCGTGTCCACTGGGTATTATGCGTATTGGCAGTACACGCTCTTAGCGTTATTTTGGCTTGCAATGACTTAAAGGAGGATTCGGGGGCTACAAGCGTAAATTTTTTGCCTAAGCCAAAACGGGAATGTCGGTAACAAACGACATTTTTGTCGGACCACTGCAGCGTAGTAGTGTTGCGCGTACTTAAAATTGCCGAAAAACTATACTGTTTACCAACTTGCCTAAATATGAGGTCCAATGAATCAGTGAAATGCGTTGCATTCACAATCGGAATATGTGGAAGTGACCTACTGCAATGTTCGCTGTGGGAAATGTTTTCTAAAAATAAATATAATTTTATGCGGGACTGAAACATGGCTCAATGGTTTGTTCCTGCCTGGTGTTCCTATCTTAGGCACCGTTACTTAAAACACGTTATTGGCGTACCTAACCTCTTGGATTGGTTATCTTTCGGGAGGTCTTCGTAATTTCATTCGTTCTGCGATTTATTGCTTTCTGGAGTGGGGGTTACTGTTTCCTTGCGCGGAGCTTAGACAGTTGCTACCTAGTGGACAATTGCTCCTCGGATTTTCCTGCTCAGATCCTTGTTTCTTATCAGGTTATAACCCGAATTTTGGTCTTAACCGTTTTTTTTCAGTGTCCGAACCTGGTTCTGTTAGCTGTGCATCAATTTTGTGATAAATACTTTGACACTTCCCTACTTTTACGGGATTCTGCTCCCCTAGGCGTCTCTTTTTGTTTTATACATGCTTAATGGCTCAAAGCATCGCACTTCCGCCTACTCACTTTTTTGATAGTTGGCCGTGATTTCGTTGCTTGTGTTTGTCTCCGTAGTTTTTGGCTAATTAATGCTTAAGATGGATTTTAATGCTTTTAGATACGTCTCCCTCGTTCAAGCGGGATGTTTGGCACGACCTTTTTCAATAAATCATCGCCCACACCCTCAAGCGATTACTATGTCTTTCCCTCCGTCCTGCAAAGTTTTGTGAACAAAGATACCCACTTTAATACCTCATCCACATCTGACAGTGTTCCTCTGATTACTGATTCTGATGGTAATTCTTCTCAACCCCCTTCCACCTCCTCCCCCTTCTCCCGGCGCTTCTCTATGTTCTCCGCGCCCTCTGATAACGAGCCAGAGTCCTTCCGTGGATTATCCCGGGGTCAGCGCCTTCTCTACTTCGGCATCTCTGTCTTCTGCACCTCTCTCTTCTTTTCCTTTGCTCTCATCTTCATCCCTCTCCTCGCCACACCTTCAGGTCTTCGCAAATTCGTTTTCATGTACGTCCTCAGCAACGTTGCACTCATGTTTGCCTTCGCCTTTGCCTTCGGTCCTTGGACGTACGCAAAGAGTCTAGTGACGCGGGATCGTCTGCCCTCCACCTTAGCCTACGGGGGGAGCCTCTTCCTTGGTATCTATGGCGTGGTGTGGTGGCGAAGCACCTTTTGCGCTCTCCTTGCCATCGTCATCCAGATCGGACTGGGTCTGTGGCAGCTGAAACAATTCATTTGGGGAGGGGCGAAGGCTTTCTCGCTCTTCAGTATATTTTCCTCTCTAAGGCCTGGTAGAATCTCTGGAACTAATCTGCCGGTCTGAGTGAGGGGAGTATAAGCAAATATTCTTCTTTTTTGTTCCTCGGAATCATTATTTTTTCATACATTGCGACATTGTTTATGCTTAATTGATGGTGTTGGTGATGAGCAAGAGGTGAAGGCGTTTTTGGTTTCAATACTCTGCTGCATAATTCTATTTCAAGCGTTAATGTTTGTGATATATTTTTCATTTATTTGAAAAATGGATATTTTAGGTCTGAAGGTTTTAGTGGTTAGTTGACAGTTTACCTTCTCAGCGTTGGTGTAATGGTTTGCTTGCACGGAAACACTGTTGAGATAGTTATAATGTTCGAGATCTTGCATGTTATTAAGCCCTGTCTGCAACTGTAGCTAATAACCTTCTATGGTCTAGTGGTTTAAATTAATGTAGTAATTTATCAGCGCTCACCGTACTCCGACATATCTACTCGTTTTAAAAGAATCATTATCCGATTCTAAAGGGACTTCTATGCTTGCATGCTTTTACAGTTAATCTTAATGTGTAAATTGTTTAGTATGAATAGAGCCCTCACTTAACGTCTTATCTTTCAAAGACTTGTTTTCGCGGAAACGGAAACCGCCTATTTGGCATAGTCGTAGATTTCAAATCTCCAACGTATCTCACTAGTAATAATACTTTAAGTGAAGGGGCTGTGTATCACTAGACTAGCGAATTCGACTCAAAGGCATGTTCCACACCCTACCTTTTCCCTGAGTTGTCTTCTGGATGATTCCCCTTCTCTAGTGTTTCCAATAAAATCAAAGTCATCCTTTTGAAGACTTACTAGCTATCGATACCAACCTGGCCTTGGTCCTTTGGATAAGTTGAGTAGTCAGCTTTGTTGGGAACTGGAACGGAATTGTCTCACGAGTACCCACCCGTATGGATTTTGCAAAGGGTTCAGGTACGTAAGGTGTTTGAGATGTGGGCGCCAATAAATTCAGCGACAGGTACACCCACTTCAGGTATTTTTGAGGGGGGATTCACGTTCCATGAATAGCCAATAATCAGACGTCCTCCATATTAAACCTAGGCGTGCTTACAACAAACGATGAGTCTAGTACACTGTGGGATTGCTTTTAAGCAGTAGTTACAAATGCGTGACGTAACGCGCCGCCGTAAGCTCCTGTAGGTCTATTAATCGTGGGGTAGAACTGTTCTACGCGTACAACTGGGCGCGGGCGTACAAATCCACCCGAATCACAGACGCATCGCACCCTTACGAACCAGTATTGGCCAGGCCATTCCCACAAATACTGTTACCACGACCATAGATTTCACGACGTCTGGTTCCGAGAGCCGACACCTACCTGGTGTTTGGTCATCCCCATCTACCCACATTTCCGTCCCTGCTACTTTGGGCGATCAAGAGAGGTTTAGACGCTAATTTGAAAACAGTAGATTACCACGGGTGCCCTTAGCACCCGAAATCAAGCACGAAAACACTCTCGGGTACGTACTCATGAAGATGACGACAGGATCTCCCTTCCTATAATACATTAGGAATGGCGAGAGAGCACGCCGCGCCTAAATATGCTTCTAATACTGCAACTGCAACAACTGTCGGTAGACCGTGTTCCTCAAACGTTGACATTTGCGGAATCGCAAGTCCACTTGTTCGCCAAGTTTTCGGTACTAATCGACTTGCTTTCACAGATGTTTAACGGCTACACAGAATAAAAATGATCAGACCAGATAAAGTCTACCTCACCACTGAACCTTTAAGCAAGAACGCACTATAGTGGTGGAAGGTTTTTATATATACATGTGAATTACTGAGGTTCCGCTACCAAGAATTATTTTTCCGTGAATATCAGGCTGTAAAAACCCCGACGTAGGCAGGACGAAGAGTTCGATCATGTAGGCTGTAGCCCACCTTCTGTATGACAGCAATCGTGTTCGGCTTGTTCTCACCACTCACAGGGATGGTGAACACAGCTTCGTGAATGTTAGGGTTGAAAGTATCGCCAATCGCTGGCACAATTTTGTGTAAGCTATGCTTGGAAAAAACCTAAACATTTGGGTAAAACGAGTAACCCGGCAAGATTACAAAGAAACATCAGTGGCATACAGACAAGGCATTTACACATACTTTCAACAACTGGGCGTCGGTCATTTTCAGACCCTCAAACAAATGCCGGAAATGAGGATTAACACCTTCTTTGAGCTGATCTTCAGGAGCGCTTTCAGTAGCCTTTTCAAGTACGTCAGCAACTTCAAGAAGATCTTTGCAGAAGGATTGGATACCGAATAACTTCGCGTCTTCCACTAGTCGAAGCATTCGCTTTCTCACATTTTCGGCTTCAGCTAGAGCTCGTTTGTATTTGTCTTCGAAATCATTGCGTTCTTGTAAAAGTTTTGCGTTTTTAGCCATAGCATCTTCCAACTCATTACTAGCCGGTAATGGCGGAGTTGTTGCGCTTTCTTCTGGTGATTTCTGGCTCTTATTGTCAGCTTCCATGCTCAGTCGGAAGAATTGGGAACTATTACCTTAAAAGTCCCAAATTGAACATTTACCCGACACTCGGTTGCAAAAGACCTCGAGATAGTAATCTGCATGGTAAACTACGTAGGCCAAACATTCCCCAGGCTAAGAATGCAAGAGCGGTGTTTCAGGAATGGTCAAAAACTCTCATTTACATCATCAATGTGCCATGTAATGATTCGGTATTTCGCTTATATAGGTTGTTTTGTTCAAGTTAATATAAAATAAGCATCTAATTAAACATCCCGTATAAAGCGAAACTAAACTGCGGTATGCAAGCTTGAATGTAATTTTACGATATCACTCATATCACAGCAGGCACTTTTCCATGCCAGCGATATATTTGAGACGCAACCATTTGCCAGAATTGCCCATACACCCTGCCACGCAAGTACGTACCAGGAGCGATTCTGAGCCCCGCCAGCCCCAGCTGAACGCCCAGAGCCTCACCACCCAAGTGCAGGAACAGCACACCACCGACGCAAATTAAGGAAGAAAAAACCAGCCAGTGTACAGGAGATGAGTTAAAAGCTAGACTCTCTAATCGAGCCTCCATTTTTCAGGGACATATGGTTCAACAGGTTCATCCAATGACTCCAAGGTGGAAGGCGCACTGCCAAGAGCTCCCTCGAAAATTTCTTGCTGCTCCACTTGCCACGCAGCCAGATGTTCCGGTTTCACCAAACGATTATAGAAGCGGTCCCATATGTAGCCTTCACGTACCTTAGATAGAACCTGGACGGAAGAATTTTAGACAGTAAAACATTCACAAATCACGTCCAGCAAATTATGACATCAAAATCGTACTTGGTAGGCCTTAACAACACCCAGCCTTTATGATGAATGAAAACTCATTGAAATGGATGCGTAAATAGCACAATCGTAGGATCCCGAATACCAGGAAACTTTAAGGGGCACGTGAGTTTAGGCAGCCATTTAGGCAGTAAGGAGGTGTGAACAAGGGCACACAAATTGCCACAAGAGAACTGAACCCACTTGATGCCTCAACTTGAGTTTCCTTCTACCTGCTAGTGGACGCAGTGAGTAGGGATAAGTCTGCTGACCCCAGTCTGGAGTGGTACGCAACTCTTCAATTAGGCTAGGATAAAGAGACCTCTTCTCTTCGGGCGTCAAAGAATCATAGTCAATGCCATAACTTTCTGGTCTGGGAAGGCTCAGCTCTTCCAATTCCAAGCCAGACTCCAGAAGAGCGTCATAGAAGGCCTTGTTTCTTGTGCTGGTCAGTGGCGTCTCAACAGTATCAAAAAGCACTGCAGTGATTCCCATACAATGACATCTGTATGCCAAAATTCGACCGATGTTTTCAGCCGCAGAGACATCAACAGTGCTGTAAAGTTGCTTGCTTATAGCACTTTCTTGCGTGGACGCAGACAAAACAGCGCCTGAAGTTTTGTGTACCACTTTACCAACTGTGTGATGCTTATCGCGTTCGAGAACAATCCTAAAATTGTAGAGTCACGTTCTAGTTACAACTCACTTATGCCAAAAATCCCTTCGAGGGGCTTGAAATTCCCAACCTGCGGTTTTATCAGCGATACCCATTAATTCTAAATTTCTAGAAGATTAAAATTAAAGCGACTCGTGTACCTGGGATTCCGATTTCTGTATGATCTGAAGCAATTAATAAATAGGTTGCAACGCATATCGTGTAAAGCCAAGCTAGACATAGAGGGGAGCATCTTTCTCCATCTGATGTTATAAGTCGCCAGGCCAGTATCGGCAGTGCTCGAAGGCTAACTAGGCTCCCTACCCACAAAGCATTATTGGCATATTATACCTTAACGAAATTTTAATAATGCTACTCTCTTTTTGCGATTACTTCTAATAATGAACGTAGATATCGAGTTTTGTGATGGGAAGGCATCACTTTTCTCCAGGTGTTGAGTTGCAAATGGTAGGTAAGTATTTTCTTTTCAAGTAAATTACTTAAACCCCCAGTCATACTCAAAAATCGAGTAGTCCATTCCCCTTAAATAAAGCTTTCACCCGAGAATTTCGCATGTTAGTCATTCTTAGTCCAACTTCTAATGATAATATCCACTACTTTCAGTTGTGCTGCATTTAATATGTAAAGCATTTTTACTCAAATGCGCCTTCCGGTGGCAAGGGGTTAGTTTGTAGCATCCCGAGACTCCCTGAAGACGAAAGAAGACACAACACTCGGAAAGAATATATATATATTCAGCACGGAGAAGGTGTCTGGGCTATTGGCATGGCCCAAAAGGCCAGCCCACCCAGCGACGTACAAGGGGGTTAATTCAAAGTACAAAAGTGGCGCCTCATCAGAACCGAGGGATAAACCACTATCGTATCACAGGTTTATGCCAGCAGCTTGCCTAAGCGGACACCATCTACCCCTACGGCAAAAAAGAAACCCTTTTCCCTTTGACGCTTGACAACCTGCGAATTTTTACCATACTTCAAGAATAAAAGATGTCCAATTTTCTTTTTCCACGGTATGAAACCAAAGGAATAATGGAGAAAAGTGTAATCTGTTGCAGATGTACCCGAGTAAAACCATCAAGAAAATTGACTTGCAAACCTAAAATGAACAGAGCATTTTCATTACTCGATGGACATCACCTTTGTTGTGTTTTTTAAAGCGCGAATTTCAATTTAGTACCATGAAAATTACTAGTGCTGGGTTCTTGGTAATGGTTCAATTCAGGAAGTTTGAAAGTACGCCTCTTGAACAACCTACTGGGCATTCAGACACATGGGTATCATGTTCTATAATATGTTTGCAACACTGTATTCAATCCACGGCGGCTTCTTATTCGCATATGTTTCAATGAGATAAGCCAGCAATACTGTTCAAGATTCTCGTGAAATGTTGGAAGTCGAATGAATCTGCAAGAGAAAGAAGCAACTCAAATTGACAAAATCACCTCCACTTTGAACAATAAGTCTTGTGGGGCTTAATCTAATGAGTTCCAGTAAATCAGTAGTTGTTTTATTCCGATGCCACGTTATATGCCCCATGGCGACGGGGTTCGAGAGGATAATTGCCCCGCCGGGTTTCAATTGCCAAGACGGGAATTTATGCTTCACCAATGGCATGTGGATGCATGGGTATGGGGGAACAAATTCTAATGGAAGTAGGGAGGAGCCGAGAGATCACGGCTTGTTCATCCACTTCTCTCGGGATCCCGGGATAAGTTTCCAACTCTTCACGTTAGCCTTTGTAACTCGTCCAATTGTGCACGCATCCAGTGGTTCTCATGGATCCAAAAATGCCAAATCCCACGATTAAATGGGCACGCATCATTAATGTAGCAAAAACATTACAGGCGATGCGAATACTTATTCCACTTTTCCTCTGCTAGTCTCTGCTCACCCTCTTTTCTGCCTATTAGTGCTTGTTAGACAAGCTGTATCTTGCGCTCTTGTGGGCATCGACTGCAAATCACCGTGTTGATGTGTATAACTGATGTGAGCAACGCCATCAACTGACAACCAATTCTCTTTCAATCCTGTGTTGATGAGTGATTTGATTTGAAGGCGCTTTATTGTGCAATAATCTCGTGCCATAAAGCAGCGGTCCTTTGACCTACTGCCACACCGTTGATCATCACTTTTCCAGCTGAGTCAAGGATGAATTTGCACAAACTTTCTGGTGGCCGTATTAGTTTTCTACGTTTTCTATCTCATCTATTCACGCAAGACATGGGGTAGCCAAATAAGCTTAATTAAG